ATGGCACGGCATCACCCTTCGTGCATTAACACTCTCCCTTATCATAATGCAATGAACAAATAACAACAGGGAGATATAATAACAAGTACAAGCCTTACTTTAACATTTGGTTCCACAATACCAACCTTAACTTCGAAATCAATACTCAGTTATCACCAGAAAATTCGTAAGCATGATAAGAACGATCAATTTATCAATACTAGTCTAAACATGGATAACATGAACAAAGGAAGCTATAATTGCAAGAAACCAAGCCCCCACCCGCATGCTTTAACCCGACTATAACGCATAAGTACTCGCCACCTCACATATACGTTGTTCCCCAACATCTAAACATGTAGCAAATAAACAAACAAGTCATATTCCCTCAAGTCAGGGTTAGACACAATACTTACCTCGCTCCAAAGGCCACTCAATGCTCAATTACCTCTTTTCCTCTAGAATTCACCTCCAAATCACTCATATCTATCCACAAACGACTCAATAATATCAAATATTGCTAAAGAAATCAATTACAACGCATAAATTTAGATTTCCCAAACTTTCCCCCAAAAAGTCAAAAATCGACCTCGGGCCTGCTTGGTCAAAACCCGAGGTTCGGACCAAAATCCATTTACCCATTCACCCCCGAGCCCGATTATATAATTTATTTCAAAATCCGGCCTCAATTCGAGGTCTAAATTTGAATTATGCAAAAATCCCTAATTCTACCCAAACCCCCAATTTCCACCATAAAAATCCTAGATTTTAGGTTAAAAACTCATGAAATGTAATGGGTAATTGAAAGAAAGTAGGTTAGAATCACTTATCAACAATTTGGGGAAGAAAATCTTTTAGGAAAATCGCCTCTAGGTCTTCTAGTTTAGAAATTTTTGAAAGAATGGCAACATCCCGTAATTGGGACTGTTTTAAGTCACTGGCGTCATGTGTTCATCGCGATCGCGTGAAACCTGACGCGTTCGCGAAGAGCATGGCCCAAATGTCTTACGCGATCCCAAGTAACTCGACGCGTTCACAAAGGTCTAGCCCGACTCACCTCCGCGTTCGCGAGATTGGGCTCGCGTTCGCGTAAAGTTACCTCAACTCCCCTACCCCGTCTATCTAACGCTACGCGTTCGCGTGTGGCTGGTCTCGTTCCCGTAGAGCAGGCTCCCCAATGCTCCGCGTTCGCGACCAAGGTTTCGCGTTCACGTACAACAAAATTTCCCTCAGCCTGTTTTACCCTTCGCGATCGTGAGAGTATATTCGCGGCCGCGAAGAAGGAAACACCGGAAACCAGCAGAAGTGAAAACCAGCAAACTTTCTAAGTTCAAATCATCTCGTAGCCTATCCGAAACTCACTCGAGCCCTCGAGGATCTAAACCAAAAGTGCACACAAGTCCAAAAATATCATATGAACTTGCTCGCGATATCAAATCGCCAAACTAACACCTAGAACTACGAATCGGACACCAAATCTAATGAAATTTTTAAGAAAACTTTAAAACTTCTATTTTCACAACCGAACGTCCGAATCACGTCAAATCAACTATGTTTCTCGCCAAATTCAATAAAAAAGTCATAAATATTATAGTGGACCTGTACCGGGCTCCGGAACCAAAATACGGACCCGGTATCAACAAAACCAAACATCAGCAAATTCTTAAAATTATTAAACTTTCAACTTTTAATTTTCCATCAAAATTCCATATCTCGAGTTAGGGACCTCAGAATTTGATTCTGGGCATACGCTCAGGTCCCAAATTATGATACGGACCTACCGGGACCGTCAAAACACAGATCCGGGTCTATTTACTCAAAATATTGACCAAAGTCAACTCAAATGGTTTTCGAAGCAAAATTTCATAGTTTTCACAGTTTGTAACATAAAAGCTTTCCGGAAACACGCTTGGACCATGCACACAACTCGAGGAGGGTAAAAATGAGATTGTTAAGGCTTCAGATAACAGAATTAAGTTTTAAAACATAAGATGACCTATTGGGTCATCACATTATTACTTGCATTCAAATATTTATAAAAATTTTACTCCATTTTATTGTCATTTTATAAATATATATTAGAGCTTCGATTACTATAAATAAAATTATTTTTTTTTATTCTACCCATTTATTTCACTATAGAACATGTTACTTAATTACTATTTCTCCCTCTTCTTTTTTCGTCTCAGGGATAATTTTCCTTTTGTTATATAAATTTTTAAAACTGAAATAAAAATATCATGATTTAAGAAAAGTAAAAAAAAAAAGGAGACAAAGGTTGATATGTAAGGGTAAAAATATGTGTTAAAAAAGTCAATGGACATAAAGGGAGGGGGAGAGGGGGGGTTAGAAATTTCTATGAGTTTTGAGGTTTAATTCGTTGAGTNAAATGATTTTCACCCATTCCGGTGAGAAGCAAATTTTGTTTCACAATTATGTTATTCATTTTACTCCTTTTTTTTTCTTCTATATTTTTCTTTTCTTTTTTTCTTTTTTTCTTTCTTTCCTTTCTTCTTTCTTTTTCCGAACTTCAGGGGGGTTGACTTTTGTTGACTTTTTCATGGGATCGGGTTGCGCGCCGCAACACACACATATATGGGTCCGCTTAGTCCAATCCTGAAGTTCGGACCAAAACCCGATTACCCATTCACCTCCCAAGCCCGGTTATGTAATTTATTTTGGAATCCGACCTCAATTTGAGGTCTAAATCCCTAATTTATAAAAATTCCTATTTAGGTTGAAAACACAAGATTGAAAGAAACTAGTTTAGAATCACTTACCAATGATTTGGGGAAGAAAGGTTCTTTAAAAAATCGCCTCTAGGATTTCTTGTTTTGAAAATTTGAAGAATAAGCAAAAATCCCGTCTAAGTCAAGTTTTGATCAATTGCAGATGTCGCATTTGCGACCTGGGGTTCGCAAATGCGAACCCCGCAAATGCGAAGAGTCTATCACAATTGCGAAGACCATCACATCTCTGCATTCATCGCATTTGCGATGAAATATTCGCAAATGCGAACACTGATCCTCCGCAAATGCGACCATCTGATCACATTTGTGATCACTGCCCCCACCTGTCCCACTTCACAAATGCAAAGCATTCATTGCAAACGCGAACATCATATGGCACAACTACTCTTCGCAAATGCGATGAGTAGCTCGCAAATGCGATGCCTGATCTCGCAATTGCGAGATCAGAGGCTGCACCAGAACTGAAACACCAGCAAATATTTTCTAAGTCCAATTTCACTCTGTAGCCTATCCGAAACTCACCCGAGCCCTCAGGGCTCTAAACCAACTATGCACACAAGTCTATAAACATCATACGAATTTGCTCGCGCGATCAAATAGCCAAAATAACATCTAGAACTACGAATTGAATACCAAATCAAATAAAATTTTCAAGAAAATTTTGAAACTTCTATTTTCACAACCGGACATCCGAATCACGTCAAACCAACTCCGTTTCCCACCAAATTTGACAAACAAGTCATAAATATAGTAATGGATCTATACCGGGTTTCAGAACTAAAATACTGACCCGATATCCAAAAAGTTAAACATTGTTCAAACATTTCAAATTCATTAAGCCTTTAACTTTTAAATTTCTACAAGGTGCGATAACTCGGGTTAGGGACTTTCGAATTCGATTTCGGGTATACGCCCAAGTCTCAAATAACGATACGAACCCACAGGGACCGTCAAAATATGAATCCGGATCCGTTTGCTTAAAACGTTGACCGAAGTCAACTCAAATGGATTTCAAGGCAAAATTTTCATATTTTTCTCATTTTTTAACATAAAAGCTTTTCGGAAAGACGTTCATACTGCGCACGCAAATAGAAAAAGACTAAAATAAGGTGTTTAAGGCTTCAGAACACAGAATTGGGTTCTAAAATATAAGATGACCTTTCGGGTCATCACACATGTTTTCTATAAATTTAGAAGATCATTTTTACGCTATTCAAAGGGCCTCACAAATTTTATCTTATCTATTATCTCCGACAACCTTTTGATTTAAGATAAAAGTTTTCCGGTGGGTGATGTAGGGCGGCCAGCAATAAGGAGCAGAGAGAGACGGGGAAGAAAGAAGGTTATGCGTACAAAGGTGAGAAATGGTGAAGAAAGAGAGATAGAGAAAGAAAATGCAAAAGAAAAGAATAAAATAAGATTAAAAAGACAAATAAAAAGGTAAACTGAAAAAAAATTAAAAACAAAATGAATTTGACATGTGGCAAGCAAAGATTAGCGCCTGATTTGCACTTCTTCTTTTGAAATTGGAGATGACTTGAAAAAGTGGTATTTATTACACTTCTAATTAATGAAGGGAGGTCATAAGGCAACCGTATTTTTAAGGAGTGCAACTAGAACTTTGGTACACTAATGGGGTAATTAAGTATTATTTCTAAATAAAAATGGATGCACTTTATAATTATATTAAATATTATATCCCATGACAAGATCTCAAATATTTTTAGATATTTTTAAAGAAAATTTTATATAAAGCCTTAAAAGTATATAAAAAAAATATATCTATATGCCGGTTTGGTTTGAGTTTTTTTTAACCAAACAAAATTAAACCAAACATATCTATTTTTTAAATTGATTTGATTTAATTTTTTGATTTGATGTAATTTTTCGATTCGATTTGAACATCCTTAATTATAATGTTATTTTATAGATGCTTAAAATATAAAAGATTTGTTTAAATATATATACATTTTGACCCTATTCACTTAAACGTTACAATATTTTGAGCCTCCAAAACTCTGAAATTTGAACCCTACACATAAATTGGGATAAAGAAATACTTATTATAATAGTATTATTATTAATTATTAAAAACGAAATTGAAGGGGAGAATAGGGCTTTTCTGAATTTCCAAAAGCCATTTTCGAGAAACGCGACCGTACTCGGTTACCAAGTCAGTGGTCTGATATCCAACTGTCATTACAAGTAAATCTATTCATTGTACTGTACATCGATATCATCACAACTGATTGCTTTTATTTATTTTCTTATAAAAATATATTTATGTATGTTTGTCTCTCCTCTAAACTATTCTTCTCTCACCTTTTCTCTCGGAGCTAGTTCCTCCTTCCATTTCTTTTCACATGTCCAAAATTCAACTTGTTGTTTTCATGGGCGTTCTTACTTCTCCGGCTCTGAAAATTCTTACCTCCCCGAGTCTGAAAATGGTCATTTGTGTGGAAGTCATGGTTCATTTAATAGAAATATCAATTATATCAATAGTTTATCGCTTAACTTCCAAGAACAGACTGAAAGGTGGATCTGATCACTTCTGTAGTAGGTACGGGGTTTTGGTCATAATTCAGCATGTTGTCTTATCTCTAGTTTCAAATAACACGTATTTCTGCTCCTAGTTTTGGCAATTAGGTTAATCTTTCTAGCCAATGATATGACTTCTCTAGATTGACATGAGATTTCAACTGCATCTTCACTGAAAATAAGATTGAAATTTAGGAGCTTTTTATTTCCAGATCTATCAAATCAAGGTTGTCATGGTATCTTTTTCCCCAATTTTGAAGGAATTGAATTCTTTAGATTGGCGATGGGATTTCAATCATGTTCCGTTCTATCAAATCAAGAGGTAAAACAATTTTTTAGGAACCAAATCTGAAGCAATATGATTTTTACTGAGTCCAATTGAGGTAAAATATTCATGGTTAGCCTATACGTGGGTGAATAATTCATCTCCCAAAATTGATACACTATTTCTTTTTTGTTTTTTTGGTCAGTTCTATCAATTTTTAGATTACGTAGGAACTCGCAAGCAATCTTTCTCCAAAACCATCTTTGAAGAGTGTGAGTGCATTAATAGGAGTGGAGGGGTAGGTAGTAATTCTACCATTTCTCAGTTGATCAACGCTCAAAACAGTGTCACTGAACAAATAAGGAAGCTGAAGGCTCGGAATGCCATTCTCGAAGGTCAGTTCAGTCATACCCAGGAGACAGCTGGTTCCAGTAATGCCCAAAACACAGAGGTTGCCTGCCTGACAAAGAAAAATGCTGCTCTCAGGAGACAAGTTGAAGACCTGAAGGAAAGGTTGCTAACCGAGCAAGGGTCTGCAAATGCTCGTATGAACAATCTTCTTAGAACCTTTGTCTCTTCCTCTGCCTCTAGGGCTCTCCCTTCCGGTGCTCCTTAATAGTTGTCATGTTTCCAGTGTCAAGTTCCTAGTGTTCGTCTTCCGTTTTTCATCTTAATGATGTTTATGACTGGTACCTTTTGTTGTTTTTATTGTGGATGTTTTGGTAACAATGGAACTGTTCCCTGCTTAATTTTCAAAAAATTAATGAAAGCTTCATCCTTTTACTTTGTATGCCTTGTTCTTTTGCTCTGTTTTTAGTCAGAATTGTGTGCACACATATGACATGAGTTAACCAAGCTAGACTTCTTTTTACTTCTTGCTTGCTATAGATCTTTTTATGATGCCAAAAAAAGGAAAAATAATTGAGGGGAACAAGCTGGGGAACAGATTCAGGGGGAATACAGGAAACTGATATACCATTCTTGCTCTTAGGGAAAACTTCAATTATAAGTTTGTCATCATCAAAAAGGGGAAAATTGATAGGTTATATGTATCTCTGTTATGTTTTGATGATCTAACAAACTTATTGATAAGAGTCAGATAAGGAACCTGTTACACATGCTCATGTACGTAAAGAACAAGTCTCAGTTCGGGGACGTGGTTCAACTCTTCAGAGTCAACAACAGAGGGAACAGATGGCCACCAGTTCCCGTGGTGACTGTACAAGTCAACTCCTCACAACTGTAAAGTTGCTGCTTGCACACGCAACAGTGCAAAAACAGTGCAGCAGTCAACTTTATGGGGAATGCCCTTTATCTAAATTGCTTACATCATTCAAGTGATGTCATAAATGAGTTATTTATATCAAGCAAAGGTAAAACAAAATACTTGCACATTCAAGAATCGATCAAGCATTTTCTCTCAAGTTTGTGCCAATCTTGCAAGTGATTCTCAAGGGCATTACATGCCCCTAGTTGTGTTGCACCTCTGTTAAAGTTCTTTACTTGTAATTCCTACTTAGTTTAGTTAGAAGCATTGTGTAGGAAACATTTGTAAATCATAAACCTTTGTATTTGTGTCTTTGTTAGAGTTAGTCAAGTTGTAAGTCTTTGTAATAGAGTTATTACAAAGTGACTTGTAATAGAGTTGTTACAAGTTAGTGAAGGATTAAGAGGTTAATTCCTAGGTTACAATAGATTGTAATCTAAAATTTGCTCAGTAGTGAAGTTGAAATCCTACAAGGATAGGTCGTGATTTTTAATCCCGTGAGCTGGGAGTTTTTCACGTAAAACTTTTTTGTGTCATTTACCTACTGCAGTGTACGTGTGTTCTGTGGGAACTAATAGAGAACCTGATTCTCTATATAGTTTGGTGGACCCTCAGTTTCTATCAATTGGTATCAGAACAGGTTCTTTCTATCAGGCTAACACCTAAAAAGGATCCTCATGGATGCTCCACCAAACTTCAAGAAAGGATAATCAACGTATAGACCACTTGGATTCAACGGCCAATACTATGGTTGGTGGAAAACAAGAATGCATGATTTTATCATGGCTGAGCACTCAGCGTTGTGGGATGTAATCTGTGATGGACCTTTTGTTCCCATGAAAACTGTTGATGAGGGAACAACTACAGTCCTAAAAACGAGAAAAGAGTACAACGATGCTGACAGAAAGGCTATTGAGAAGAATTTCAAGGCAAAAAAGATTTTTGTCTGTGGCATCGGACCAGATGAATACAATTGCATCTCAGCCTGTCAGAGTGCTAAGGAGATCTGGGAAGCTTTTCAAACAGCACACGAAGGGACAACTCAAGTCAAGCAGTCGAAGATCGACATGTTGACAACTGAGTATGAGCTCTTCAGAATGAAGGATGACGAGTCCATTCAGGACATGCACACTCGCTTCACCTCTATCATCAATGAGCTTCACTCACTGGGAGAAATCATTCCCAAGAACAAACTTGTCAGGAAAATACTTAGTGTATTACCTGGTTCCTGGGAAAGCAAGGTAAACGCCATTACAGAGGCAAAGGATGTGCAGAAGCTGACCATTGATGAACTCATTGGTAATCTGAAAACTTATGAAATGAAGAAGAAGAACGATAATGAAAGAAGAGAGCTTAAAAGGGAGAAGAACTTGGTCCTCAAGACAAACAAAAATGACTCAAGTGGTGAGGATGCCGACATGGCTTACCTGACAAAGAGATTTCAGAAAATGGTTCGCAGAAATGGAGGTATTCCAAAAAGGGGCAGCTCTAGCAAGCCAAGAGACTATGACCTATGTCATAAGCGTGGGAAACCAGGACATTTTATTAAGGATTGCCCCCTCCTTAAGCAAGATCAGTACAAACACAACAGACAAAGCAGTCAAAAGGAACCAGGCTCCTGACAAAAAGTTCAAGAGAAAAGATGTCGCTGACAATATTGTGAAACAAGCTCTTGTTGCATGGGGAGACTCCTCCAGCAAATCTGGAGATGATGATGATCAAGGTGACAACTCCATGATGACAGTAGAAAGTGAAGCAGCTGAATATGATTCCATATTTGCTCTAATGGCTAAATTAGATGAGGATGAGGAAGATAACGATAAAGATGAGGTAAACTTTCTGGATGTTCAAAGAAATCTGAAATCCTATTCTCAAAAGAAGCTTATATCTTTGGCTAATATTTTAATTGATGCTTATCACAGTCTCATTAATGATAAAAATGCACTAACCATGGAACTAGGAGAAATAGAACACGAGAGAGATGATCTAGTGATGGTTGCGATTGATCTAAGAGAGACCACTGAGAGTTTAAATAGGGAAAAAGATATTTTGACTGAGAGAAGTGCAAACATAGATCATGAGAGAGATGGCCTATTGGTAGTAGTTGTAGACCTAAAGGAAACAATTGAGGAACTAAGGAGGGAAAGTAAGCCTATGAACACTCAAAAGGGAAAGGAAGTTGCGAGTGAGGGACACCTTCGGCTTGAAAATGAGCTAAAATCAGTGAAATCTAGTCTATGTGCTGAGCTTGAGAAAAACAGATAACTTCAGGAAGATCTAGGCAGAGTGAAGAGTGACTTAGATAAATCTCTTAAGTGGACCTGGTCCTTGATGCAATCACTGCTATGTATACGAATAGTGGGGGGGAACAGACAGGGAATCAGGTTCCAAAAAGAAATAACCCCTTACAACCCACACAGCAAGTACGTTATTGTTCCTGATAACTGGCTCTGCACTCACTATGGTAACACTGAACATTTCAAGGAAACATGAAAAGTCAAATTCCAGTCCCAGCAGAAAAACAAAGTTTTTGTTGAAAAGGTAATTATTGCAAAAAAAACTTGCTCCCTTATATAACAAACGTGTATTGCCTACTTGGACAAAAAGAACCCTGATTCACCCGTTTCCTCATTACAAGGGACCCAAACTTGTTTGGGTTCCTAAGTCTAATCTTTGATTCTCTTGTGCAGGGAGCAGTGAAAGGAGGCAGTCAAAGATGGTACATGAATAGTGGCTGCTCGAAGCATATGACTGGAAGCACTAATGATTTTCTTTCAGTCAAAGCCCCGCAAGGAGGGAGTGTATCCTTTGGAAATGGCAAAAAAGGATATATTCTTGGAGTAGGAAGAATTGAAAAGTCTCTCACTCACTCAATCGAAAATGTGTATTACGTGAATGGCCTGAAGTACATCTGTCACGATCCCAAATCCACTAGTCGTGATGGCACCTAACCCAACCCGCTAGGTAAGCCAATTAACCTATAACCAATTCCAATAACAATTAATAAAACGATCAAGTAAAGAAATATCTGAATCTTATACATTTCCCAAGAACTGGTAGTACAAATCATGAGCTTCTAATAATAGAGTTTACAAAGCGGAAATAAAGTAAATACATAGTTTGTTTGAAAAGTACATAGGCAGAGTTTTATAGATCTAAAGCTACCACGAACAAGAGGCAGCTACAACTGTGACGTAAGTACATCTTCAATTCAGCTCCCATCGAACACAGCAACCCGATCCATATATGACCATAAGGCTCGTTACGGCATGCAACCCGATCCATATATGACCATAAGGCTCGTTACGGCGTGCAACCCAATCCACATATATATAGTCGACTGCGCTCACTGGGGGTGTGCAGACTCCGGAGGGGCTCCTTCAGCCCAAGCGCTATAATGCTGAGGCGTGCAGCCCGATCGAAGGCTTGTTGCGGCGTGCAACCCGATCCAAATATATATATATATATATATAGTCGAAGGCTTGTTGCAGTGTGCAACCCGATCTAATAATATAATCAATATAATATGTTGCGGCGTGCAGCCCGATCCCAAAATATCACTCTCACTCAGGCCCTCAGCCTCACTCAGTCATTAATCTCTCCAGTCTCACTCACGGGCTCACAATGTCATGAAACTAGCCCGACAATAATGATATGTTGTATCAATAAACAAAAACTGAGACTGAGATATGATATGAATGCATGAATATGACTGAGTACGATATATCAATGAAATCAGTGAGATGACAGCAAGAAACAACCACTATGGGTCCAAACAGTATCGGCATAATGCCCAAACATGATATCTAGTATGATTGACAGCTTAACTACTTTATCACATGGTGAAAACACGGATATCAACAAAGTAGGGCCACTATACAGTGTCATGGAAACAACAGAGTCACAATTCACAGGGTGCACACCCACACGCCCGTCATCTAGCATGTGCGTCACCTCAATACCAATCACATAACACGTATTTCGGGGTTTCACACCCTCAACACTAAGATTAGAAGAGTTACTTACCTCGAACAAGCCAATTCCAACACCGAGCAAGCCAAGCGATGCTCCAAAATGCCATTCCGCGCGTTCTGACCTCCGAACGGCTTGAAACTAACCAAAAATAACTCAAATACATCAAACAATACTAAAGGAACCAATCCCGATCGAAAAAGATCAAATCTTGAATCAAAAGCCCAATATTGGCCAAAAGCTCAACCCGAGCCCGCACCTCAGAACCCGACAAAATTTACAAAACCCAAAAGCCCATACACTCACGAGTCTAATCATACCAAATTTATCAAAATCCGACACCATTTGATCATCCAAATCTTCAAAATCCACTCTCAAATTCTCAAGCCCTAAACCCCCAAATTTCACTTCAAAATCTCACTAATTAGGTGGGAAAATCAGTGGGGAAACAAATTTTATGATTCAAAACGAGTACAAGAAGCTTAACTCAATAATCACCTCGAAAATCTTCTCCAAAATCGCCTAAGTCCGAGTCCAAAATGTTGAAATAA